CATCCCCCGCCCCATCCCTGCCCAGCTTTTGCATGTGAGCAGAGGTTCCTAGTGCTAATTGTAGCCCTGTCTTCCAGTCACTCCCCCACCCCCACCAGGCTTCCATCCAGTGCCCAGCCGGGAATTCAGAAAATACCAGACATTGCAAATGTCCGGTATTTTCTGAATTTTTCTACCGGACAGACCCTGGCAGGAGCGGCCTGAGCCCGGCTGCAGCAGCTGGCGCCCTAGGCTGCTCGTCTAGGCTCACGGGCCGCCCCTGCACCTGACAACCCTACTCACAAAGCCCTGCTGAGGGATTGGGTAAGTGTGGGAGTGCGTTGCTCCTAGTGTGTGTGGGGAAAGAGGGGTTTGGCTTGGGAACTTCCCGAGAGCTCTGGCCACTCTGTGATTCTCTGTTTGTTTGGTTTTTGGTCTCCTTCAACACCATCTTACTGTGCAGGGTCATCAACCTCAGTGACGTGGGCGCCATCATGGCCAGCTTTGCCCACATGGGCTTCCCCAACTGTGGGGGCGGGCAATTGACAGCATCCACATCCCCATCCAGTCCCCCAGTCACTGGGCATCAGAGTATATAAACCGGAAGGGATACTTCTTGATGGTCTTGCAGGCCATCACGGACCACTGGGGCCAGTTTACGGACATCTACATTGGGTGGTCAGGAAAGGCACACAACACCTGCATTTTCCGCAACTCCAGTATGTTCCAGAAGCTACACGCTGGAACATTTTTCCCCAGCCCCATCATCAGTTGCGGGACGCAACCCACCCTCTCTTGCCCTGGCTCATGAAGCCCTACTCCAGCCACCTTGACCAATCTAAGGAACAGTTCAACACCAGGCTCAGCAGGGCCTGAATGGTTGTTGAAGGTCCCTTCTGGCATCAGAAGGTGCGGTTCAAATGCCTCCTCACCCGGCTGGATGTTGGGGAGCAGAACATCCCACACATGGAGGTTGCATGTTGTGTACTCCACAATATTTGTAAGTTGAAGAGGGAGACATTCCTGCCAGGGTCGGGGGCAGAGGCTGACCGCATTGGCAGGGCCTCTGAGCAGCCGTGCACAGCTGCCATCTGGCAGGCCCATCAAGGGGCCATGAGCATCCAGTCAGCCCTAAGGGAGAGTTTCTCACAAGAACCCCAGTGACACTCTCCCCTGGGCCTCCCCACTAGGGCCCTGTGCATCACCCCTCTCTGCCTTTCCCCCAACACCCTTTCCCTGGCAGGAGCGGCCTGAGCCCGGCTGCAGCAGCTGGCGCCCTAGGCTGCTCGTCTAGGCTCACGGGCCGCCCCTGCACCTGACAACCCTACTCACAAAGCCCTGCTGAGGGATTGGGTAAGTGTGGGAGTGCGTTGCTCCTAGTGTGTGTGGGGAAAGAGGGGTTTGGCTTGGGAACTTCCCGAGAGCTCTGGCCACTCTGTGATTCTCTGTTTGTTTGGTTTTTGGTCTCCTTCAACACCATCTTACTGTGCAGGGTCATCAACCTCAGTGACGTGGGCGCCATCATGGCCAGCTTTGCCCACATGGGCTTCCCCAACTGTGGGGGCGGGCAATTGACAGCATCCACATCCCCATCCAGTCCCCCAGTCACTGGGCATCAGAGTATATAAACCGGAAGGGATACTTCTTGATGGTCTTGCAGGCCATCACGGACCACTGGGGCCAGTTTACGGACATCTACATTGGGTGGTCAGGAAAGGCACACAACACCTGCATTTTCCGCAACTCCAGTATGTTCCAGAAGCTACACGCTGGAACATTTTTCCCCAGCCCCATCATCAGTTGCGGGACGCAACCCACCCTCTCTTGCCCTGGCTCATGAAGCCCTACTCCAGCCACCTTGACCAATCTAAGGAACAGTTCAACACCAGGCTCAGCAGGGCCTGAATGGTTGTTGAAGGTCCCTTCTGGCATCAGAAGGTGCGGTTCAAATGCCTCCTCACCCGGCTGGATGTTGGGGAGCAGAACATCCCACACATGGAGGTTGCATGTTGTGTACTCCACAATATTTGTAAGTTGAAGAGGGAGACATTCCTGCCAGGGTCGGGGGCAGAGGCTGACCGCATTGGCAGGGCCTCTGAGCAGCCGTGCACAGCTGCCATCTGGCAGGCCCATCAAGGGGCCATGAGCATCCAGTCAGCCCTAAGGGAGAGTTTCTCACAAGAACCCCAGTGACACTCTCCCCTGGGCCTCCCCACTAGGGCCCTGTGCATCACCCCTCTCTGCCTTTCCCCCAACACCCTTTCTCCCCCACCCCCACCCCCACTCCCACCCTTCCCCTGCCCTGCAGAGACAATACAACACATTTTGTTTTTGAAAAAATAAGCTCCGTGTCGATTTTATTTGGGGTCAAATTAACTAGTGAGGGATTGGGGAGGACTGGACTGGCTCTGCGGGCTTCTGGTGGTGGAAGCTCTCCTGCAGCCCCCCAATTACTCCCTCTCCCCAGATGGCAGCCTGTGGCAAGTGCAGCCGGGCTGATGGCCGAGTGGTGTGATGTGCCCAGTGTGGGCACTCAGGGCACTCCAAGCCAGAACTTCTTTGCAAGCGGGGCACCCCTTAGAACTGTGTGTCCGGGGTGGGGGTCGGGACCCTTTAAGCGCAGCCCTCGGCTAGCTTGAGACAGCATCTCCATGCTCTAAGCCCTCCTTTTATGCCCTGCCGGCACTGCTTCCGGCCATCCTTAAGCCCTGTTCAGAGTCCACTCAATGTGGACTTGCTAGTTCGAACTAGCAAAACGCTAGTTCGAACTAGTTTTTAGTTCTAGATGCGTTAGTTCGAACTAGCTTAGTTCGAATTAACTAATTCGAACTAAGTTAGTTCGAACTAGCGCTGTAGTGTAGACGTACCCTAAGAGAATCAATGGGACTTAATCTTTTAAACTCTTTGGAAAATCTCCCCCCAAATCATTAAAGATCTCAGGTCAAATTCTCAGTTCCTATAAATTAATGTAGTTCCACAGGTTTCAATCAAACTACATTGTTTTATACAACTGAAGATCTGGCCCATAAATTCATATAGTACAAGTGACTTCTGTTTGCTGGGTAAATTACCTGCCAATAAGTTGTATCCGGTGAGTATTTTCTTCTTTTGAGTCTTTTACCATGCCTTTCACAATGGATATTTGGCTGAATGTATTTATTTTTATAAAAAATACATGCAAATCCATTTTGAAAACAGGACAACTTGAACCCATAAAAATATTCACCAGAACCATTAAGGAATGCTTTAGTTTAGAGAAATATTAAACTAAAATTAGGCAGGGAAATGACTTTCAGGGCTGAATTGCTGCAGAGAGGAACCACAGCTAGAAGTTTTATACAGTAATATGAAACAAATGTTTTATAAGCAACAACAGGAGGAATATACCTTACAAAATAAAACCCAAATATTGCCAGCTGATGAACTGCCTCATTTCATTCCATCCTAATGTCTCCTAAGAAGTCATCTGCTGCAACTTTATTTTTTGTTAGAGTATCTGTAGAATTTTACCCGGGGCCAGATTTAGTCTAGGTTTCTAAAATCTTTCACTTAATACAATGGTTCTCAAATGTGGATCAGGACCCCAAAATGGGGCTGTTGCACTGGTGTTATACTTGCTGGGGCCCATCACCAAAGCCCCACCAGCCGGGGCCAAAACTGAAGCTTCAGGCCTCCCCACCCCCACCTCCACTTGGGGCTGAAGCCCTTGAGTTTTGGGCTCAGGCAGGTTCAAGCTTTAGTTCCCCCTCCTAGAGTCATGTTGTAATTTTGGTTGTCATTACGGGGTCATGGTGCAATGAAGTTTGAGAAGTCCTGATTTAATGCATTGTTTTACACTATGAATATAAGCAAACAACGGATTGTCTAGTAAAGATTTAAGGTGAAATTTTGGCCCTATTGGAGCTAAGGTTTCATGCTTAGCATTTAAACTATGAATTCCTTATGTCAAAGACTCTATCTTCTGAGTCTAGAGTAGCAATGAATACACTGACAACATGTAACAGGTAATAATAAAGAACTAGTTGTACAATTCTAAAACATGAAGTGGAATGTAATTGTGAACTTTTACAGCAATTCGTCAAACTCCTTTAAGTGTCAGCATTTATACCACATTTTGCTACCCTTATTCAAGTTGAAAAGTGCCTTTCATATCAAGTAGTCCTAGGCCAGGGCTACACTACACCCACAAGGTTGACTTAAGGTACACAACTCCAATAATGTAAATAAAGTAGTTGGAGTTGATGTATCTTAAGCCGAATTTTGCTCCATCTCCACAGCGAGAGGTGGATGGGAGAAACATTCTCATTAACTTCCCCTACTCCTCGTGACAGCAAGAAGTACTGGCACCAATAGGCATCCCTCAGCAATTGATTTAGCAAGTTTTTACTAGACCTGCTAAATCAAACCTGAAAAGATCGATCACCAGTGCGTTGTTCATCCAGAAAGTGGAGATATAGTTCTAGTTTCTTCAGTGGAACCAAGCAGGAGTAAAGTAGTGAAAAAGAATGGAAGTATCATGACATCTCCACACATTTTTGGGTCCTTCCATTTTTCATTTTGTTTGATTCAAAACTATTTTTTAAAAAAATTTCAATTTGTCAAAAAAATGCAGTTTTGGAGTCAAACCATTTTTATCTGATTTTTTTTGAATTTCCAGCAAACTGAAAAGTCAGTGATTTGCCCAGTTAGAGTTGTGATTTGTTGTTAGATTTGCCCATTTAAAACTCCCATTTAAGTTGTTAGATTTGCCCATTTAAAACTCCCATTCTGTCCTACAACATGGAGCAGAATCTGTGACCTAAGCAGTAATTCATGCAAAGTTATTTATTCATCGGTCAAAATACAGGTTCTTATGTATTTCTCAGGCAAGTTGGGGGATGAATACATATGTTGGGATGAGTTATTGCCCTGCCTTATGGATTTATTATTGGTACTGCAGTAGACTCCAAATTGGCAGCAACCAATCACTTCTAGCACTGGTATAGAAGACTCCAAAAACTGCTTTTTTGATGATGGAGAGTTTTATTTTAATTAGGACCATCAAACAATAACAAATTAATCATAATTGATTGTGTGATTAAAACTTGCAATTAATCATGCAATTAATTGCACTGTTAAAATAATAGCTAAATATTTAATTAGATTATATTCTATCTTGTATATTTCCAAATATATTTATTTTAACTAGAACACAAAATGCAAAGTGCACAATGTTTAATTTATGTATATGATTACAAATATTTGCATTGTAAAAAACAAAATAAATCGTATTTTTCAATTCACCTAATACAAGTACAGCAATGCAATCTCTTTATCATGAAAGTTGAACTGAACTATGTACAAAAATATTCAGAACCTACAAATCCACTCAGTCCTAATTGTTCACCCAATTGCTCAAACAAGTTGGGTTACAATTTGCAGGAGTTAATGCTTCCTACTTCTTGTCTATAATGTCACCTGAAAGTGAGAACAGACATTCACATGGCACTTCTATAGCAAGCATGCGAGGTATTTGTGTGACAGATATGTTAAATGTTCATGTGCCCCTTCATGCTTCAACCACTGTCCCAGAGGACATGCTTCCATGCTGATGACAGGTTCTGCTCAATAATGATCCAAAGCAGAGTGGACTGGCACATGTTCATTTTCAACATCTGAGTCAGATGCCACTAACAGATGTTTGATTTTCTTTTTTGGTGGTTCATGTTCTATAGTTTCTGCATCAGAGTGTTGCTCTTTTAAGACTTCTGAAAGCATTCTGCACATCTCATCCTTCTATTTTGGATGGCACTTCAGATTCTTAAGACTTGAGTCAAGTGTAGTGGCTGTTTTTAGAAATCTCACGTTAGTACCTTCTTTGCATTTTGTCCAATCTACCGTGAAAGTGTTCTTAAAACAAACGTGCTGGGTCATCATCTGAGAGTACTATCAGAGAAATATATGTAAGAATGTGGGTAAAACAGAAAAGAAGACATAAAATTCTCTCCAAGGCATTCAGTCACAAATGTAATTAATACATTTTTTTTAACAGGCATAGAATCATATAATCATAAAACACTAGAACTGGTTCTAGTCCCATGCCATCAAGGCAGGACCAAGCACCGTCTCTAGTCCATCCCTGACAGATGTCTTGTCAAATCTGTTCTTAAATATCTCCAGAGATGGAGATTTCACAACCTCCCTAGGCAATTTATTCCAGTGTTTAACTACCCTGACAGGAAGTTTTTCCTAACGTCCAACCTAATACCTCCCTTGCTGCAGTTTAAATCCATTGATTCTTGCCCTATCCTCAGAGGCCAGAGAGAATAATTTGTCTCCCTCCTCCTTGTGACATTTTAGATACCTGAAAACCACTATCATGTCCCCTCTCAGTCTTCTCCTTTCCTAACTAAACAAACCCAGTCCTTTTAGTCTTCCCTCTTAGCTAATGTTCTCTAGATCAGGGGTTCTCAAACTTGGGGCCCCATCCCCCCCCCCCCCGAGGGGTCGGGACCCACAGTTTGAGAAACATGGCTCTAGACCTTTAATCATTCTTGTTTTGCTCTTCTCTGGACTTTCTCCAATTTCTCCACATCTTTCGTGAAATGTGGTGTCCAGAACTGGACACAAGACTCCAACTGAGGCCTAATCAGCACAGAGAAGAGCGGAAGAATGACTTCTCGTGTCTTGCTCACAACACTCCTGTTAATACATCCCAGAATCATGCTTTTTTTGCAACAGCGGCACACTGTTGACTCACATTTAGCTTGTGGTCTACTATGACACCTAAATCCCTTTCTGCAGTACTCCTTCCTAGACAGTCGCTTCCCATTCTGTATGTGTAAAACTGATTGTTCCTTCCTAAGTGGAGTACTTTGCATTTGTCTTTATTAAACTTCATCCTATTTATCTCAGACCATTTCTCTAGTTTGTCCAGATCGTTTTGAATTATGACCCTATCCTCCAAAGCAGTTGCAACCCCAAGCAGCTTGGTGTCATCTGCAAACTTAATAAGAGTATTCTGTATGCCAATATCTAAATCATTGATGAAGATATTGAACAGAACCAGTTCCAAAACAGACCCCTAAGGAAACCCACTTGTTATACCCTTCCAGCATGACTGTGAACCGTTAATAACTACTCTCTGAGAATAGTTATCCAGCCAGTTATGCACCCACCTTATAGTAGCCCCATATAAGTGGTATTTGTATTTGCCTAGTTTATTGCTAAGAAGATCATGCAAGACCATATCAAATGCCTTACTAAAGTCTAGGTATACCATGTCCACCGCTTCTCACTTATCCACAAGACTCGTCCTATCAAAGAAAGCTATCAGATTAGTTTGACATGATTTGTTCTTTACAAATCAATGCTTTCTGTTTCTGATCACCTTATTGTCTTCCAGATATTTGCGGATGAATTCCTTAATTACTTGCTCTATTATCTTCCCTGGCACAGAAGTTAAATTGACCGGTCTGTAGTTTCCTGGGTTGTTCATATTTCCCTTTTTATAGATGGGTGCTATATTTGCCCTTTTCTAGTCTAATAGAATCTCTTTGGACTTTCATGATTTTTCAAAGATGATAGCTACAGGCTCAGATACCTCCATCAGCTCCTTGAGTATTCTAGGATGCATTTCATCAGGTCCTAGTAACTTGCAGACATCTAACTATTGTAAGTAATTTTCAACTTATTATTTTTTTTATTTTATCTTCTAAACCTACCCCATTCCCACTAGCATTCACTATGTTAGGCATTCCTTCATCATCAGACTTCCTGGTGAAGACTGAATCAAAGAAATCATTAAAGCATCACTGCCATTTCCAAGTTTCCTGTTATTGTTTCTCCCTCCTCACTGAGCAACGGGCCTACCCTTTCCTTGGTCTTCCCCTTGCTTCTAATATATTTATTAGGGCTGTCAATTGACCTGCATTAACCCCTGTGATTAACAGGATTAACACGTTAAAAAATTGAACGTGTTAATCGCAGGTGTTAATGCTGCCTTGCCTCGGCATTTCAAAGGGGCAGAGCAAGTGGAACGAGGGATTAGCTAGAGTGCCCGGCTGATCCCCGGCTCTGCGTTGCAAAGCCCTTTTGGAGTGCTGCTCCGGGTATGCAAATCCCGTTCAATAATGGGCATTCTAATACAGTTCAGTTTTGGTAATGAGTATTTTTATTAATATAGTACATCAGAATGCCTTTTAATATTTCTCTATTTCAGTAAATGCAGCACTTAGTTTTCATTAATTTCCAATTAAGTTATCTGTTAGTGTATCTTTATTGAAATCAATCGGCTTCCACCAACTCAATTTATTTTTGCTAATTTCCATGATTTGGAATCAGTACTAATCAACTGCTACTCTGGGCATGATCTACAACTGCCTCCTCTCTATATTTAGAAGCACCTTTTGAGATTGTCTGTTCATTGTCTTCTGCAACTAATCACTTTGCATTATTCCACTCCAAACTGTTTCCAACCTCTCCCCCATTTCCTGGAAAGTAAAAGAAAGGCTTTCAGTTTGTTTGCTATCTTAATGGTCCCCTTTTGGAATAGCTTTAGCCCATCTTCCATTGTTTCACAATAAACCAAAAACTAAATGGTTGGTATTTGTCTCACTATCTCTTCCAAACTTTGCACTGCCTGGAACCTGACCCAGGCAGCTAGTACAAGTAGCAATGGTTGTATCCTAAGAAACAAAATGAAAAAATGCCATTTTAAAACTCAAATTGTTTTTATTTTGCACAAGGCTGGAGAGTGCATATATTGAAAGTCCATTAATGATTTGCCATGCAAGAGACCTACCTATGCTGTGTGGCCAATTGCTGTAGGTTAAGATTTAGCATCTTATGGCTTATACCCAAACATAAATGATTTCTCAAAATCAAAGTCCAAACACAACAAAATAAAAAAAAAATCTCTGCAGGTAACATGTAAGAGCCAGCCTACACTATCTAGATGCATTGGTAAAAGGACAAAGTGATTTACTGATTGCAGCATTTGTCCTTATCAATTAAAAAAAATGCTTCCTCTGTGATAGTACTAGAGTACTGAGGGACTCCCACAGTTTTTGGCAGAGCTCTCCAGAACAGATGCTTTTTGAAAATCAGCAAATTATAACTGGGTTCCTACTAAAGATATGCAATCAGTCACCTATTATTATAAGCTGGTAGGCAGTTGAAGTGGTTGCAATATTAAGCCATTATGCCATCACAAACCCAGTCTCAAGTTCCACTGAAAAACTCAATGGCTTCTCCAAAGGACTGTTTCCACTTGCTTGTTCTGGGGAAACCAGCAATATCTCTTGAGGTGTGTAGAGAACTGTATAGACAGGAATGGAAGGTAGGAAGTGCACTTTTCTCACGCTACTGATTTTAGGCAATTTTGAAGCTTTGTTTAAGTCACATACCTGAATTGGAAGCTGGTTTAAGTTCTAAATAAGTCTTAAGACTCAGGGGAAAAGGAGGAAGTGAGGTGGAGGAAAAGCAGGTAGAGTTAGCATGGATTTAGTGCAGTCGTTCCCAGCATTTTCGAGCAAATGGATCCCTTTTCAATCTGTTAAAAACATATGGACCTGCTCTTCCCCCCGGGGCGGCAGCCAGCACATCTCTTGGCCTGCGCTGCTTCCTCAGCTCCCATCAGCACATCTCCTGTCCATCCACGGAGCATACAGCAACGAGGGTCTTAAGGCCCAAGGCAGCTCTGTCCTGGCATGCCGTCCTTATCTGGGCATGGAGCCCAGAGGGAGAAAAAAAAGGAAAGGAAAAGAAAAGACTGGGCGCACCGCGGGACTGGGAGAGGAGAGAGGCCTGCAGCATAAACAGCATCACAGCTGGTGGCAGGAGGAGGAATGGTGCTTCCTGGAGTATCAAGATCCCGTCCCGAGGGCGGGAGGCAGCATGTATGTGGCCGGTCATGAACAGTGAGCCATGGATGAGAATCACCTGGCGGAAAGTCCCAATTCCATGGTAGGCCTAATCCTTACTTTTCTTTTTTTAAACTTTCCATAGACCCCCCTACAGTACCATCATGGACCCCCAGGGGTCTGAGGACCACAAGCTGGCAACCACTGATTTAGTGAAAACCCTATGCAGCTAAGCCAAATCATAGTTTTGTTAATATACCCTTTTATATTTGGAACAGCTATGCCTCCACCATCCATTATGGTTAAATTAATCTGGAAGAAAAACAGATTTTCCCTATTTTTAAAAAAGCCATTTTAACAATGATCCTGACAACAAAACTGGGATATGTGCCATCAGTTAACTGAAGGAACCTTATTGCACATTAGGGTTATCTCTTCTATCCTCTTTCCAGACTCTGGATAGAAGTTACATGATCCAAAGACTTTCACGGAGCAACCAGAAAAATATTATGACAGACTACATTTTTATTTCTTTTTGCCAAAAAGAATAGATAAAAGCTGACATTTGAGATACATTCAAGCAACCTTTTATTTTCAATTCAATTTGTATATGTATTCCAATCAACATTTATACTATATATTTAGATTTATTTTATAATCCATTAATTCCATTTATCTAAATTGGATTTGTAGAAAAATGGCTTGACAGTTTTGATGACTGAATGCATGGGAGCTGCTTTCTAAATGCACTGAGCTGTGGCTAATAAGCCAGCACTAATGACTATACTATAACACTGATGACATTTCTCACTTTAGTTACTAAATGCTTTCCCTGGGAAAATGTTGCTTTATATTTTAGCTGGTAGATAGTGAACAATTTCCTTCAAAGCAGTTTGCAATAAGATGACTAATTGTTTCTTATACAATGGTAAAGGTGAAGAGTAATGCTTACTAAAAATAACTATAACAAGTCTTAAAAGCCAGGTACTGAGAACAAGTACTGTATATTCTTAAAAATGACAGACATTTTAGAACATAACTGCAAAACCTGAAGAGCTTACTTGCTTGGCTCTGGAAAGCTGCTATGGCCCTTAAAGAATCAGAAGAGAAAATTATGTAATTAAATGGAGAACCAGGCCTGGGGATAGCTGAAAAGTAAATGTTCCATGAGAAACAGTTAGTGACAGTTGGGAATGAGGTGTAAAGAGACAAGGCACAGGGTAAGACAGATGACTTATTTTTATCCTTAATTTTGGTTTTTAACTGATAAAATATCCCAAACACCAAAAAAACCCACACTAAAAACAATTAATCAAAAATTGGCATTTAACTGATAAGCACAAAAACACTGGAAATATTTATTTCCAACTGTTTGTCTACACAGTGCAGTAATGCATACTCTGATTTCTAAAGGGCACAAATATATTGTGCCTTAGTCTGTGTACTCTGATGGTGCACACTATATAATCCCTACTGTACTTTAATGTGGTGCTGTTTGAATATGACAAATATTGCTTATTACAACAGAGTTTACTGTATTGAGTAATATATACTATATTTTACACTACAAAGAGAAAGCCCCCAAAACTTGATTTTCAACATTATATAAAACTCAAAAATTGTAAATAACCACCACCCAAAAATGTAATAAAAAAGCCCAAAATGTTAATATATATATATATATATATGCTTGGAACACAGAGGGACCAGTAAACAACAGACTTTATTTTTAAAAGTTCAAAATCTACATATTGATTAAATACATAACTGTTTTTTTCCCTAACATTTGGGGGATAAGGAAAAATAGCGAGCTAGATTCTAGTTAGATAAGCAGTCAGGAAGTTTTAGGAAGTAGTTTTAATTAAAATGGAAATGCATGATTTTCTGTTGTGTAAGTTTAGTAGGCATTCTTTCTGCAAACTGCATCACTATTATTTCTGCTAAAAAATCCCAGCAAGAACAATTTTAATTTTACCTATGTGGATAGACAGTTAGGTTAGAGGATAAAATATATATTGTTTCAAGTGAAATATTATGCAGCAAACAAACTTTACTCAGACCAAGTGGAAAGTGTTAAGCAATGGAATTTTCTGAAGCTTGTTCTAAAAATATTTTAAAATAAATCTGTGTGCAAAAATACTACCCCAGACTGATATTGAGGCACAAAGGAACAATGCACTGAAAAATATTTATGAGTACTACTCATTGTTTAGTACACAGTGTAACAACTATCTGTACCTCTAGCAAACACAAGCATTGTAATTTGATATCTTTTAAAAGAATGGTAAATACACCATTTAATGCAAATATACCACATTAAAAACTATAGGAAAGAAAAAAATATAAGGCCATAAAAAAAAAACCAATGTAACTTAACACAGAATAGCACAATAGAAAGATGGAAATTTGCAATTAGTTCATTTTAGTGGCCATCCCATTTGTCCTTGTGATGAAGAGCTTCTGAACAATTAACTCTGACAATTGCACTACAGGATAAAAATATTTGTAAAAATAAGTTGAACTGTTTAATTGTTTTCTTAACCTTACATGAATACAGTTAAGATTTTAAAGTTCGTAGACTCCTCTTCATTAATGTCATTTGCTTCTCTCTCATTTCATTCAGGTTGGGCACTAAAATTAGACTAGTCAGATTCATTTTCAGTTACAGTCAGCATCTAGTCAATTTCACTTCCCGGTTTTCTTGTACTATGTAGGGTTGCAGTATTAGGGATGCAAACACAGCAGAATTTTAAATTGAAGCTAATTTTTTCCTTTGGAATTTTGAAAGAATCATGAAAACATTTCTAATGCTCTTGTTTTCTAAAACAAGCGGGAGCCTAAATTTACACGGCAATATTGCCTCTAAGAAAGCTATATTTTGAGTCATAGAATCATTAATAAAATGTAAGATTGTTTTATTATCTGTTATAGAGTCTGAATTAGTTTACAAGAACACAGTTACACAGCATATAGTATCTATTAACATGGTACAATGAACGTGGCAAAATATGAATTCAGTAACTCCCATACGTCATCAGATTGGTGGTCCACCTAGTCAAGTACGAATTTTTGACAATGGCAAGGTCAAAATTCTTTAGTCATTCAGGTAGCTCTTGCTTGTTTGCTGTTAATTTTGAATTCAGAAATGTGTGACTTTTTAATAATTGCTTCCAATATGCACGATCTTGCCTTTATCAACAGTGAATTTTGTCACCATCATCCATCTTTTATAGGTCTTTGTCAGTTTCCACACAGTCAAATGAATCCTCTACATTTTGCCATCTCACAGTTCACCATTTTTTCCCTCAGAACATTAACTAATGTTAAACATCATTCCTACTGTGGAACTTACAGTACTCCACTGTTCATCTTTGGCCACGTACAAAACTGTCCATTTATTCCCACCCTGTTTTTTAGCCAGAAGTTTCTAATCTATGATAAAACTTCATGTCCCAGTCATTGTTTCCTCAAAAATATTAATTTCTTCTTGAAAGGGATAGCTGACCCTTGGTTCTTCTTTTACTGCCTTTATTCGCTAATGGCAGGTCTACGCTATGGGGCAATGTCAACCTAATTTACGAAACTCCAGCAACGTGAATACATTATCTGGAGTCAATGTACCTTCAGTCAAGTTGTTGTGGGTCTTTACTGTGGGAGATCAAAGGGAGAAACTCTCCTGTTGACTTCCTTTATCTCAGGGATGGGGAACTTTTTTGGGTCAGGAGCTACTGACCCACAGAAAAATCAGTCAGGGGCCACACACAAATGAGAAGCTAACAAACAAAAAAAACCCTCACTGACTGAGAAGAAAGAAGATATTCCCCCACATTCTTCTCCCACACAAGAGTTTAGGAGGGCCCAGGTTATTAGATTTTATGAGCTCCAGTCCCGTGAGGGGGTGGTGACAGGGGAGCTGGAATGCCAGTGCAGGTTCTCCAATGCTGGGGGAAGCCCTGAACTCCGAGGGCTGGATCCTGACAAGCCATGGGCTCCATCTGGCCACCGGGCCTGTGGTTCCCCACCCCTGCTTTATCTTTTCCTCATGATGGAATACCAGTAAATAAAAGCGTGATTGATGGTTATTAGGGGACAGCAAGACAAGAGTAGGGGACAATTCATTCCTTTGATAATGGACCAGAAGGGGAGAAAATTCTCAATCCAGTTTGGTCAGCTTAGTCTCAGTTATTAAATCCTGCAATTTATTATTTTAGCCCTAAATTAAATGATCCCTTAAAAAAAATCTGTCATCTTGAATAGGGTAGGATAGATTTGCATTTTCCCTGCCAGACATATGCACTGATTTGAAAGTCAGATGTCATAAAAATGCCTGGAAAACGACATTAATGTAACCTTTTCTGCATTGCTTAAGGGATATCAATATGGTAATATTTTATACTCATTTTCATATCTCTACCTCATTCATCAGAACCATGTCACATTGTATTGACAGGAAACATAAAAAGGTCTTATCTGCAGAGCAAAAGCCATAAGGTGTCACCTGTATTCTATAGCAGCTAAAGGAATGCAAAGTAAAGTCACTTTTACTAATATTTCACTTTACCCTACATAAAGTCTTTCCTAATAAAGCATCAGCAGGCCTATTTAGCCTCCTTACAGCATAAATAGGTCATTTTCTGAAGACCAATCTTATTCAGGCTAGTAGTCACTGTCTTAAAAGATGGCCCTAAAGGGTATTAAGACTTAATTCCATGTATTATTTTGCATTTATATAGCACTACTCATTATAATTAATTCATAAGTTCTTCAGGGCAGGGAATGTCACTTTGTAAAATGCCATATAAATGACAGTGTTGCATAAGCACTTTTAGGCATAATACCACTAGTTATCCAGTAGCTCAGTCACATTAGTTTTGTTTAATTAATTGAATTAAATATGAAAGACACACCAAAAGCACTTGGCTAGAAACAGTACGGCTGCGTCTAGACTGGCATGATTTTGCGGAAATACTTTTAATGTTTTTTCCGTTAAAAGTATTTCCGCAAAGCTTGTCTAGATTTACACGGATGCTTTTGCGCAAAAAGCACTGACTGAAAGTATTTGCGCAAGAAGCACTGACTTTGTACATTACAAGTCAGTGCTCTTGCGCAAATTCAAGCAGTCAGTGTAGACAGCTGGCAAGTTTTAGCGCAAAATCTTGCCAGTCTAGACTCACCCTACAAGTAAAACATTATTAAGGGTCTCTGTTGGAGTTTTACCCTAAATGGTAAAGAGGGATCATGTGAAGGGCTACGTCTACACTGGCATGATTTTCCGAAAATGCTTTTAACGGAAAAGTTTTCCGTTAAAAACATTTTCGGAAAAGAGCGTCTAGATTGACAGAATGCTTTTCCGCAAAAGCACTGATGCTCTCATGTACGATTGTCAGTGCTTTTGCGGAAAAACTTGCCAGCTATCTACACTGTCCGCTTGAATTTCCGCAAAAGCACTGATGCTCTCATGTACGATTGTCAGTGCTTTTGCGGAAAAACTTGCCAGCTATCTACACTGTCCGCTTGAATTTCCGCAAAAGCACTGATGCTCTCATGTACGATTGTCAGTGCTTTTGCGGAAATTCAAGCGGACAGTGTAGATAGCTGGCAAGGTTTTCCGCAAAAGCAGATGATTTTGTGGAAAAACTTGCCAGTCTAGACACAGCCAAGTGGTTTTTGCCCACAAAAGCTCATGATACCATCTACATATTTTGTTAGTCTTTAAGGTACTGCTAGACTATTCATTGTTTTTATTTTTTTCCAGTTACAGAATAACTGCACTACCCCTCTGAAGAGGCAGAGGAGGTGTCAGCCAATAGCACAAGACTGGCTCATCCTTCCCGTAGCTACAAATTGAAGATAACCACCACGCTTAGCCCCCGTCCCCATTCACTCATAAGAGCCTGAAGGGGTAACCACTTCTGCAGCCCCGCTGAATGGATTCCTCCAGAAAGATTAGGGTGGTAGGTGGTGACGATTCTTTCCCTCCTGCACATTAACCAGCACCAGGACATAAGGCAAACAGCTTTAGCCAGAGATTATCTAGAGCAGTGTTTCCCAATTTAATTGAGCCACGGAACCCTTTTAAACTCGAAAGAATTTTGCAGAACCCTAATAAGTAGTCTAGCTGGACATCAGCGCTGAGTAGTGACATCATTGTCCACGGCTCTGGCTAAGCTGGCATTATACAGCGACGCTTACAGAAGCAAACACAAACAAAAACTATTTTCAAAGCATTAATAAATGCTTAAATAGGAATTATTTTTGTAATTAATACAACGTTACTGTAATGGCATTTTCTCACACAACCCTTAGTTTCTCCTGGCAGAACCCCATTTGGGAAACACTGCTCCAGAGGGCAGAAGTTTTGGGCAGGGAGGCCACAGAGTGAGGGGCCCCAAACAGCAGCACAGGCCTCCCCGCCCGCAGCCATGCAGTAATAAATGCTTAAATAGGAATTATTTTTGTAATTAATACAACGTTACTGTAATGGCATTTTCTCACACAACCCTTAGTTTCTCCTGGCAGAACCCCATTTGGGAAACACTGCTCCAGAGGGCAGAAGTTTTGGGCAGGGAGGCCACAGAGTGAGGGGCCCCAAACAGCAGCACAGGCCTCCCCGCCCGCAGCCATGCAGTGAGCCCTGGCTCCCAGGGCGCGAGATGGAACGGGGGGAGCGGGG